TAATATATTTTTTGTGGAAACAGAAACCTTGTTGATGCTGCTAATATTGCTGCTTTGGCTGCTCTGCTGACATTCCGGAGGCCTGAATGCTCATTAGGAGGAGAAGATGGTCAGGAAGTAATAGTACATCCGCCTGAGGTCGGATTCCTAACTGTTTTGGCTTTTAATATTACTTATTAAAACCATTACTGTAAAGATGAGAATCATCTAGTGAGTTTTGACACTTACATTCAATGCTCTTACAACTAGGTGAATTTTGTGCTTAAGAATATGAGTCCTGAGCATAATCATGAAGAAACTTTATTTTACTTTCTTTACATTTTTGCTACTTAACAACAAGAAGTATGTTCATCAAATCTGAATAAACTGGCAAGGATCAATTCAATCATGTTTTGGAGTCAATTGATTGGTGGGTTGTTGACCTAGGCCTCATGACTGATGCTATATAGGTCTCTAAGTTCCTTATCTAACTCATAAAAAAAGTTCCTCATCCAACTCAAGGTTCAACTTGTGACTGCAATTTTCTATGATTACCACACAACATTAAACTGTATGCCTAATGCAATGAGTCAAAATAGCCATGATTACATGTAAAATAAATAGATATGAATTTGTATTTTGTTTCTTCTTATTTCTGTTTTTAACAGAGGTACCAGAAATTGATAATTTTGAACAATTGGTGATGTTTGATGTTCGTTCTACTTAGAATTCACTTGACTTGTTTTTACCTTGTCGGTGAAATTGGCTTGTGCAGTCTCTTGCTTATCCTAATTTTAAATAGCGGCTATAATGTTGTGTAAAAGCTGAGTGATAATAGATTTTGGTCTTTCTGTTGCTTCAGTGTCTGTACACTCTTTCAGGGTTGTTGCTGTAGTTCAGGCTTCTAATGCAATCAACCTACTTAATTGGATGGCCTTTTAACAGCCAATTGACGTATCTACTGTCTCTGCTACTGGGGTTTCTTCCCTCCCCTGTGTTTTGCATTTCCTTTCCCTTAGAAGAGTATGGATGCCAAGAGGGGGAGGGGGGTTGAGGGGGTAGTCGGGGGTGATGTGGCGGTGTTAATTACGACTGTGACATTGTGATTGGCTGGAGAGAATATTAAAGTTTCTCTTGTTTAGTTACTTAAATCAGGACAAAAACAAGAAGAAGAGAATTATTGTCTTTTAACATTTTCTTCTAATCTGTTTTCAAGTATCTACAAAAGTGGAGAGAAAAAGAAATAAAATCAAAGAGAAAGAATATAACTAATGCAAATACTCATAATTTTGTGAATTTTCCTTAAACTTATGATTTTTAATATGAATCATCTTATTTTTTCTCCTTAACCTTGTTTTGGAACTATTGAAAACTTGAATATCACTTTTAATTACTTTTGTCCACTTCTTTCTTACCATTCCTCTTCCTCTTCTCTCCCATCATATTGAAGACACTTGTCATTTTGACTCCATCGAATGCGTAATTATGGTAGTTGAAAATATCTTCTCTTTTGACAGATAAGGGAGCCTCTTCCTTTGACAGTGCATCATCTTCCAATTGCGATAACCTTTGGGATTTTTAGTAATGATAGCATTCTGGTAAGTTAATTTTTGACATCAGGATATTCTAACTACGTTTGATTAACACATCTTGTTCACAGCTAAAGTTGTGCTCTCCTTAATGTGATGAAATTCAGGTAATAGATCCAACCCACAATGAGGAAGCTGTTATGGGTGGACGAATGACTACAACAGTTAATGCAAATGGTGATATTTGTGCAATTCAAAAGGCTGGTGGAGAAGGTATCCCTCAAAGAGTTATCATGCAATGTTTGCAGCTTGCTACTGCAAAGGCTGCGGGAATAACAAAGCAAATTAAAGAAGCAGTAAGAATATTATCTTCAAAATAGTTTTCTGAAACTTGAAGGACCTGACTTCTTCTTAGCTACTTAATTTATTTTCTCGTCATGGTATAAGATTTCTTTACAAATCTATAGTTGGGTGTTTGAAATATAATTGGTTGTACTAAAGTGCAAAATGTGAAGGGAGAATGAGAACTTTGAAATTTTGATAACATGCAGCGATGTAATATGAAACTAAATGACTAAGGATAACCATTAAAAGTGGAGAACTTTGTATAAATTATAAGCTCCTTGATTTTGAAATTCTAGGTAGATTTGGTTGTTAAAACAGATAGCTGAAGCACACAAAAATCCAGTATACTAGTCCTCTCATACTTATGACACTGACTACTTTGCTGCTTGTCTCCAGCTACTAAACAGAATAAAAAACTGTGTTGTAATCCAACTAATTCAAAAACAGCAAAAGAAAAGCAGTCCTGTATTATATGGTTAACCAAATTCTACTTCTTCCCTAGAACGAAGCTTTGTATCGATATTCAACCTAGAACAAAGCTCTTCCACTTCTTCCCTAAAATTCTAGTTGTTAACGTGCAGCTATATGACATTTTATGGTATCATTTGCTTAGGGAAACGACTTTAGAAACTGGCTAGTATGTCTTATTTCATTTCTTTATGTAAAAATTTCCATTATCCTTCATTTCTTCTGTCAAATTGCTTGTTACAAATAATACTTTACCTATTAAAGCTTGTATTATTTGCTCCGCACTTGAGTTTCATTGTAAATCTATGTAGGTTGAAGTGTACAACACAGAAAGAGCATTGCGAAAGATCAAGCGCCACCCTACCTCTATTGGTGTTAATGTTAAAGAGAAACAAGACCAGTCTGTTGATAAGTAAATCGGTCACCAGAAAAGTATATGGAGAGTTTAAAAGTAGAACCATGGGAAAACTATTGATGCAGTATGGAGAGTTTAAAGTGGAACCATGGGAAAATTGTTGATGCGGTCATCAAGGATCCTCATTCATTGCTTGTTCTTGTGTAATTTAGTTTTGCATTGTTTACTTTATTTTATTTCAACATTATTCAAGGAATTTAGGTTTTTTCATTCTGTGGTCCAAGTTGGTTGCTTACTAGGGGTTTCAAGTTTGTTTCTTATTGTTGACCCTGGTTGTAGTTGGTTTAGAAGTATCTAGCAATCTTCATAAATATTTAGTGTAATCTTCATTTTTGGTAAATACATGATGAATGAAATTATAAGTGTTTTGCTGTATTATGGCATAAATGCCTAAATCCAAACCTATTTTGAGATCTAACCTGATTGTTAATTGAGTTGAACCCCGATTGCTAACTTATACTCTATCCCTTACTCCATAGCCAGAGGTCAAAAAGTCTCTAATTTACTATCTCCCAGCCCACCATGGTACAAGGTAGGAACGCTTCCCCTACAAGTGAAAGCAATGATGTTGGAACTTGGAAGTTGAAAGTTGAAATCAATATATCTGAAGTTGGGGAACTAGATGGACCTGATGCTCTCCTCAATTTGGTAAGCCTATGTAATTTTGTATAAGCCATATCTGAAAGTGCTTATAACCATGAGCTTTTGTATAAGCCAATGTATTTAGGTTGCGTACCTTAAAGACAAGAGAATTGCCAGTATAAAACGTCATTGCTATGACTTGCTCAACAGCTTACCAAGTACCATTGAAGCCATTACAATGGTTGACTGGATGAGATGGGATAGGGTGCTCACCGAGGAAATTACAAAGCTCTTGGATGATTATGTTTCAAGCACACGCTCAACCGTGAACATGCCAAACCAAATGTTTTGCATGCATGCGTCGAGATCCTATCACAGGTCACGTGGCAAGATCCCGCTGAAAATAGGAAGTGACCCTAGACGCTACCAGGATCTCATAATTCAACCACCCAGATCTCGCGGACCAAGAAGGCATGCTCTGACACTAGTGTCGGCTTCTGTCTCTTGGCTATGATTTTATTCTTGAAGCTAATAGTTCCTATTTCAATCTGTTCGGATGACATCGACTAAAAGATTTTCCACTTTAAAAACATGTATAATTAAGTGTGTAAGTGTATTTTAGAAGTACGTCCCGATTAATCCGTCTCAAAAAGTATAAAAATGTGTCTACATGTTAAGCACATGTATTAAAGAAGGTACTCTTTTATCTTTTTCAAGTTTAAATCATCAAGTCACTATTGCCCATGTGAAGACACATTGAGTTAACAGTGTCTTTGGTTTGCCTATAAATTGTAACTCCTTTACAAAAGATCTTTTGAGTATAAACATTGTTCACACTTTGCGTGCAATGATACGAGTCACATATTTTATCGTTACTATTTCGGTGAATCTCTTACATTAAAAATTTTATAAAATTAATTATAAATTATTATATTATTATTAAAAAAGTATTAGTAGCAAAGTTTGTCATAACAAGTTATTGTAACACGATAATATAAATCATAAAAATAAAGCTTTAATTAAATCATCATACCAAGAAGACGTTTGAAGGTCAAAATATCAATTAAAACACTTTAATTTATATTTAGTGTTATGGACTATGTCTTTTTACGCCAACACCAATAGCACAAGTTCTCCATTATCGGTTGAGTTTCTCTATGCATGTTACTGCTAATGGATCAGTTACCAGTTGTTACATCCTAGAGACAAATATTGTCGAGCTGAAAGAGTTAGTACATCAATTAATGGCTGCCTGTAATGCTTGTCCACT